GTGTTTGGGAGGTACAGACTCATCCTTGCCGCTTAGTGTAAGAATTTCTGGGAGATGACTGGTACCCAGAGGAGCAAGACTCAGAATTACGTGTAAAAATTGTCTTGTGAGTATTTGCCAGAACAGAACAATAAACTGCATTTTGTGTCAGGCCCTGCTGTGGTTTACCCTCTGAACTCATCTTACAAAGCCAAAGGATTTGCCTTTGTCCTTTCTGTGAATCTGCTCCTGCTGCACAGTGTTCAGGGGAATCAGAGATGGATCTGACCACGCACAGTGCAGCCTCTTGCACACAGTTTTCATGGACTCACAAAACATTATGGGTTGGAAGGGACCTCAAAGCTCATCTCATTCCAGCCCCCCTGTCACGGGCAGGGACACCTTCCACCAGCCCAGGTTGCTCCACGCCCCACCCAACCTGGCCTTGGACACTTCCAGGGATCCAGGGGCAGCCACAGCTTCTCTGGGCACCCTGTGCCAGGGTCTCCCCACCCTTATAGTAAAGAATTTCTTCCTAATACCTAAACTAAACCTACTGTCTTTCAGTTTTTCTCCGTAGCAATCCTTTAAAGCTCTAAAGCCTTGGGAGGCAGCTGGCTGCTCCCCCTGAAGGTGATTACAGAGAAGAAATTCTACTGGACCAACAAGATTTCTTTCATTATCCTAATGATTTCTATCACAGCTGGATTTTTCTCTGTGGGATGCTTAGATCTATGAGATAAACTTCTTAGAAATGATTTAGACAAACAAATGAATTAAACAGAATTCAGAGTGACAGTTCCCAACACTTGGGCGTCCGCCAAGGAACTTTCAAAAGCCAAAATAATAACTCAGATCTGAGAGATCCTGCAAAGCTTATAAATTAAGTAATCCTTTGGAAACCTGCAGCTAAAGCTGCCATAGGGTTGAGATTTGCTTGGACTTAATCCAAATAACGAGCTTCAAATTTAACTGTTTTCACAGGATGTTGGTTTTTTGGATATTTTTCATCTTTTAACTATTAAGTAAAGGTACAAACAGGAACTGTTAAGAATCTGTTGTACGTGAATCCCATCAGGATAGGAAGACACCAGAAAGGACAATGGAAATGGAAATGAACATGAAAAACTCAAGGGTTACTGATTGATGTAAGAAAGGAAAAGTACTCTGAGAGGACAAACTGCACAAATGCCATGAAGCATTGCTTGGAGTCTTTACTGCCACAAGGATTTTGCATTCATGTGATCAGCATCACTTCCAGGGGCCATTTGCCATCACAAATATGAAGAGGAGCAACCAGCATTAGAACCTGCAAATGAGCATTCACAACAAAGGATTTTCAAACACAAACCATGAGCCACCGAATCTGACACACAATTTTAACAGGAGTGTGGCTGTTGGGAAGGCCAGGACACAGGCTAACAGCTAGATTGATGCTTAAAGCTGCCTTAAATCATAGAACCACAGGATGGTTTGGGTTGGAAGGGACCTTAAAGAACATCCAGTCCCACCCCCTGCCCTGGGCAGGGACACCTTCCACTGGCCCAGGTTGCTCCACGCCCTGTCCAACCTGGATTTGAACACTTCAGGGATGGATGACTTCAGCCTCCTGAAATGGCTCTAAGCAGAAACAGCCATGTCCAGAAGAAGACAATTTGTAGAGCAAGAAAATCTCCTGACCTGGAGAAGAACTATCAAGCCACAAAGATGCTTTAAAACACTCTCATATGGACAAATGTTCAAAAATAGCATTGGAGGGTCATTATCAGGACTCCCAGATAAGCACAGACCTCTGCTAGACATTGGGAGGGGGGCAGATGGAAAACCTGAATGCTCACTCAAAATGGGACACAAAGCTGAATATCTGTAGTTTACCCAGTCGGTCTCTGATAACAAAGGAAGGAAACTCAGAGTGTCACCGGTGGCAAAGGAGAGCCAGGATGGAATATTGAAAAAAGAAACAAAGGGGTGATAAGGCTTTGGGGTGGAAAAATACTGGAAACAAACATCAAGGAAAATATCAGGGAGGGGAAAGATAAAGTGAATGGAGTGATGAGATTGAATTCATGAACATGTTTGACCTCTCTTTGAATAATGTGTGGTCTCTGTCAGAGCTTGCTGCAGGGTTTCAGCACTCTGATGAAGAATGAGCATGTGATACTGTATTTCAGCTCCCCCAGCAAGGTTCAGCTCATCTGCTGTTGGTCCTGTTGATTTCTCAGCCAGAAGTAGAAATTCAATTAGTTTAGAATTTAAAAATTCCCACTGAGTAACCTGGTCTAGTGGAGGGTGTCCCTGGCCATGGCAGGCAGTTGGAATGGCTTGATCTTTGAGGTCCCTCCCAGCTCAAGCCATTCTGTGATTCTATGATTCAAAGACAAAACCAGAAATTTCTGAGCCCACTTTGGTTGGCTGAAGTGGGGGCTGACTGGGTCCTCTGCAGGCTGCAGAGCTGTGTTGGCTTTAGTGTGAAAAGGTGTGTGAGCAGCTGAGAGAACATGAGGCATCTGTGAACTGTGGGGCTCTTTGGATAATGTTCTCATTCCCTGCATCCTGGGAGAAAACATCTATGGCAGAGGGGTGCAACATTAATTCCTGACACAGTTCTGAAACCTGAGGGTTGCTCTGACACTTTCCATCAGTAGCAATTCAACTGCAGACAGTTTTATTCAGAGTAAAACTGCCTCCACTTCACTCAGTGTAATGCATTTTGGAATATAGCCTCATTTGGAATAAGCACACCTACCAATTTCTACCAGTTTGGCTAATTGTGTTTTACTTGGGTTAAGTTTTTGATGAGCTGTCAGTTCCATGAGGGGTGATCTGGGCTGAGCATTCAAAAAGCCTTGAAGAGAAAATGCCTCGGAGCCAGCAGTTTCCTGTCTGCTTTTGAAAGGAGTACTTTAATAGAGGGCATTTCTGTGTTTTGATCATCTGTTGCCTCTGCCAGTGAATTACTTTGATCCCCTGATGCTTTGCTGCCCAGCAGAGCTGCCCCTCACAGCATGGTGCAGCTCACAACGCACCCAGGGAATGGGCCCCCACTGAATGCCAGTGGGAAATGTTCGACTCCACAGAACTGCAGGTTTCATTTTTTCTCTTCTTTTTTTTTCCATATCTCTGGGTTTATTCTTCCTATTTTCCAGCAAGCTTAGTGTCTTTCACAGAAAGGATTTTTTCTTTTCCCTCCTGAGAGGAAGGAGATGCCGGTGCTGACACACCGTGTTTGTGCACTTGGTCCTTGAGGGAATTCTCTTTGTCACCAAACAGTGAGAGCAGGAGAAGTGGGACAGCAACCAGTCCTCCAGCTCTCTGTGAGAGGAATTTCGCTGTTTGACTGGGTGGATTTTCTAACACAAGCAAGGAAACCTCAGACCAGCCTACTCCCAGGCTGCTGCAGGCTGGGTGATATCACGTAGGAATGAGGAGGTATGATTCATCACCCAGACAAAAGTCAGCCTGTGCAGCCTCTCTTGGTGGAGGCACATGCCTGCGAGGAACAAAGAGTAGTGGAAAGCTCTGCTGGTACCGGCTGCAGCTGGACCTCTCCTCTGCAGGCACCTTCCTCGCAAAGCAAACAAAGTATGTTGTGTTTCAGGTTTGTAACACAGCGCTGGATTCACGGTGCTAAATCCCAAAGCTGCAGGAGGGCTCAGGAGCATGTTTAAAAGTTACAGCTCCCCCCCTGACCCAGAGCAAAGCCCAGTAACACGGGCACAGCAGTGAGACGGTCACACAAACCTTCCCGGGTCACGAGCAGAGACTCTGCAGCAAATGGCACGTAAATCAAACCCACAGAAACTGGGCAGTGAGAAGGTGCTCGATGAAACTGGACTTTCCAAACAATGAACCCTTTGTTAGGTCCCTTTTTTGAAGTGAGATATTCCGGTCCAGCCCTTTTCAGGAAGAGAGGGAGATTTTACAGGCGTTTTGAGATTTCTTCCCAGCTTCTGGGGGCCGTGCTGAGCAGCTGTGCTGGCCACCCATCCCACCTCCTCTGTGCCTGCAAGCCATCCCTTTATGCACCCTCTGGCAGCATGGACATCTCTGTGGTGCTCCAGCAGTCACAGGGATGCTCTGGTGTGCTGAGTGCTGCCCAGAGACCCCTGCAAGGACACAGGGATGTTGGGCTGCAGTGGCCATGAAAATGCTCTGAGGGCTGGAGCACCTCTGCTCTGACAGACTGAGAGAGCTGGAGTTGTTCAGCCTGGAAAAGAGAAGGCTCCAGGGAGAGCTGAGAGCCCCTTCCAGTGCCACATGGGCTCCAAGAGAGCTGGAGAGGGACTTGGGACAAGGGCCTGGAGGGATAGGACACAGGGAATGGCTTCCCACTGACAGAGGGCAGGGTTAGATGGGATATTGGGAAGGAATCCTTCCCTGTGAGGATGGGGAGGCCCTGGCACAGGCTGCCCAGAGAAGCTGTGGCTGCCCCTGGATCCCTGGAAGTGTCCAAGGCCAGGTTGGAAGGGGCTTGGAGCAATCTGGGCTAGTGGAAGGAGTCCCTGCCCATGGCAGGGCCTTTGGAACTAGATGAGCTTTAAGGTCCTTCCCAGCCCAGATCATTTTCTTGGAGGTTTATCTTTTGCCCAAGCAATAACCAGGAAGAATTCCCAAATGGCTTTACATGAAATCTGATTATTTTCTTGAACTTTTTTCTCCTTCAAAAGACTTATTGTGATGAATAAAACAGTCACGACTACACGGTTACTGACCTATTACATCATTTTCTTTCCACTCCAGAGGATGAAAGTGCAGTGAGGGGGGCTCTGACCACATCAAATAAAGTATATTTTACTACTAGTGAAGTACTATAACTTTACTCCTGTGAGCAGTCTACAAGTAGAACCCCACTTGTAAAAGTTTTCAGGGGTAAATCTCGCTAAAGCTCCCCCCGACGCCGGTGGGGAGGGGTCGGTCCCGCCTCCCCGACACGCCCTGCGGGCGGGCCGAGCTGGGGAGGTGGGTCGGGGCCGAGCTGGGGAGGCGGGTCCGGCCCGTCCCGGCGCTCGGAGCGCGGCGGGACCGCGAGTGGAGCCGGAGCCGCCCGCGGGCAGGGAGCGCCCGCCGCGATGTCCCACTCGGTGGTCCTGCGCGGCCCTTCGCCGTGGGGGTTCCGCTTGGTGGGAGGCAAAGATTTCAGCGCCCCGCTGACCATCTCCAGGGTGAGCTCGGAGGGGCGGCGGAGCGGGGAGGGCACCGGCCGCAGGTGATGGGCGGCGGGGATGTGGTACCCGGGGTCGGCCACCGGCTATCGGCGCTCGGGCTCTTTTTGACTTCGTGTTAGTCTGTATACATCCCAATGCACTCTTCTCAAAACTCAGCGCCGTTTCAGCCGCTTTTCCCGGTGTTACAGCGTTCTCTATGCTTTTTTTTTTTTTTTTGGTTGTTAATTCATAAAGATCCGCTTTCAAAGTTTTTAGTGTTCAGAGGGTTTGGATTCGCGCCCTGGACTGAGTTCACAGGCTGTTGGGGTTTGTAAGGAAGGCATGAGTTAAGTCAGCAAGAAGTTTCTCCGTGCAGGCTGCAGTGTTCTGGGGTCCCTGTGGGCTGGTAGTAATTACTGTGTAAGTGTACTCACACTTGTGTTTAACCTCACAAAGATGTATTCTGGAAACTTCTTTGCTGAGACTCCGCAGATAGCTTGAAAAAGGCTTTGTGTGTAGATATATGTGAAAACAAACCGTCCGCCGTGCGGGAAGGAGCCCGGCGAGGTGGTGCGATGGGCTGTGTGATGGATGAGGTGCCGTGTCTGAGCTGGGCATGTTCCTGCGGGCACTGGGGTTTCCAGCGCCGTCGGGCTGCCCCGGGAAAGGGCCGGGTGCCCCAGGCTGCTCTGCCTTCCCGGCCTGTCGGGCTCTGCGGGATTGCCGAGCTCCCCTGGGCAGCTGCTGCTGAAGTGCTGGAACAAACACTGAGTGTATTGAAAGGCTTTGAAAGGAGCTATAACTTAAAAATATTGGTGTAATGCACGCAAGCTGTTTGCCGTCGTCTCCTTCATCTGCCAAAGCTGTGACAGAGAAGAGAAAACATGTACCCTGAGTTTCAAAGAAATAATTATGGAAGAGAGCGTGTTTTAAAGAGATTTAGTCTGTATTTGAGTTAAAACGCGCCTGTTGCACAGCTCTGCCTCTGGTTTTGCTTTGGACTGTCCCTTTCCAAGTGCTCCAGCGAGGGCTGTTTTGGAGGAGGAACAGGAGGAGATGGATGGAGAGGGAAGGGAAGGGCAGGGCAGTGCAGGGAGGAGCGGCTGGCGGGGCTGGCTGTGCTGCCGGGGTGGGCAGGAGGCTGCTCAGAGCTGGGGGTCTGTGCCAGGCGGGGAGCACTTGGTGTTTGGGGCTCAGCCTGTGCCTCCTGGGCATGGCAAGTTCTCTTTCTCCACTGGTAACGTGGGATGTGTCACAAACCACCTCTCAGCAACTGTAAAAATGTCCCTGTTGGGAAAATGAGCATCTCAGCTTAGTGGAGTGAGCCTCTTTTCCTGTTACTTTGAAAAAAAAAAATGGTTTAATATTAAACAAGAAAAAACGAAGTCTGCTTCTGCCTAGGCAGGTGGCTTGCCAAATTCCTTGTTTGATTCAGCAAACCTGGGAGGTGTGAGGAGGTTGATTCTCATCAGGCCAATCTTGCCATGGTTCACAGGGAGCTGTAATAAAAGAAGTTGTAGGGTGTTATTCCATGTGTCAGCCTTTTAAATTGGATCCCTTTTTAATTCTGCTCCCGCTGAAGAGTGAGGTGATGCTCTGATGTTGCTGAACTCCAACAGCTGCTCCTGGAGGGTGATAAACAACTTGCTGGGATGTAAATATAGGTGTAGGGTATTATGCTTAGGCTCTAGTCTCTTAACACAAGAAAAGACCTCACTTGCTTTGCAAATAGTAGCCAAAATGTTAGAACTGGGGAAAAACTAGTTTCTGCTGCAGCTCCTGGCCTTGGGGATGCAGGAGGGCTCCCCAGGGAGCCAGGGCTTTGCTTGATGGTGGGTCTCTGCAACCCTGCTGCTGTGCAGAGGACTGATGGTGGCTGGTGTGGTGCCATATTCCCTTTCATTCTGTAGTTGCCCAGGAAATCTGTTCTTTCTGTTTTGAAACCCAGCAAGGGGGCTGGAGGCTCCCTGTCTGTGGGGATGGGAAAGCCCCAGCCCCCTGCTCAGACTGGCTCACTGCAGGAGGGAGGGAGCCTCTTGCTAATTGTGGAGGCTTTTGGCTGACTTCTGCTCCCTTCAAAGTGCCTTTCTTCTTTACTTTCTATTTTATTTGTTTTATACTAAAATGCCATGAAATTACAAACATCTTTGGAAAGGCAGAAATTCTGCCAGGAGGCAGGACCACACTCTGGGAGTGCCCCATCCAGCTGTGAGCCCAAGATGCTGACAAGCTCCGGGTGTGCTGGGCTGCCTGAGGGATGTGGGTTTGTACCCCACTGCTGGGCCCAAGGGGGGCTGAGGATCAGTGTGCCATGAGGTGTTTGGACTGTACAGCTTTGCAAACATCCTCCCTGGACTGGTTGTGTTGGGAAATCGGGTTGCAGTTTGGGATTTGAGGCATCCAGAGCCACCCATAGTCAGCTCTGGGTGCTGGAGGCTGGCTGCCTACTTAAAAAACACAAATTTGTCTATGTAGGGGTTGTGGAAAAAAATGTTTTGGTCATTGTTATGTTGGTTTTCTCTACTCTTTGGTGAGCTTCTGCAGGAAACCATTTGGCTCCAGCCCTCTCCCCTGCTGTAGCAGTGCAGGGATGTGTTGCTGGCCCAGCGGGGATGCTCTGCTGGGGGCCATGGAAGGTGCAGCTTCCTCTGCAAAGCCTGGCCAAGTGTTACAGCTCCAGGTTAAGTGCACGCTGAGTTTCTTAATGGGGCATTTGTGGGACCTGAAGCCGAAGTGTCACTTCTAGAGGGGGAAACAGTGATGCAGTTGGTGTGAAAGGAGCTGCCAGGCTGAGCTGAGCGAGAGGCACAGCAGTGCCAGGCAGGGAGAGGCACTGGGCACAGGGCAGGAGGGACAGCTGAGAGTGGACCACAAAAGTGGCTTGGGACAGTATTGTCAAGAGAGAAACTTGAGAACATATGGATTTGGCAATACAGAACATGACAATCCACCGAATCCTGCTTTGGGGTAGGACTTGCCTCTCTCACAAGGGTTTGTTTTGGCCCTTACCCCTGTGAGGTGGCTGTGTCTGTGCAGCTGCAGCTGATGGGGTTCAGTCCATCCCTTGCAGCTGTTTAAAATGTGCTTGTGATATCAAGCAATGATCTCTTTCTTGAAAACAGGTCCCTTCTCTCTCTGATTTGATCAGTCATAAGTGACAAGGGGTAAAGACCTGATAGCTCCAGTGACTGGGAGCAGCTGGTGCAGAACTCTGCCCCCAAGGACCCAGGGCTCCAGTTGGGTTGTTGAGTTCTTCATTGTTAAAGATAAATGCAAATCCAGCAGGGTGTGCTTAGGGCACCTCTCTCATGTGGTCACATGAAAAGTTAGGTGTGCTATAGCTCCCCTTTCATCCCCTGTTTCTTCTTGTATTTCCAGGAGGACCCAGATGAGGAGGGATGGAGTTTGCTGGGCTGGTTTTGGGGGTACACAGCCCTGCAGGGTGATGCTGGTGTGTTGTCAGTGCTGGGAAGGGAATTGTAGCCCCAGGCTATGCTGGGGGTGGAACTCAGCTTGTTTTATCCCCCCTGTTACAGTAAGCTAATACCAGGTGTAGTACATCACAGGATTAATGGTTACTCCTCCTAAGGATACTTATAGGAGTACGGAATGATCCAGGAGATCTGATTAGAGTCGGCCTTAATGACTTGATAGAAAGTGGGTTTAAGACTTAATTAAATTTCTGGCAGCCAACAGCTGCTTTCCCTTGGCTGAGCAGGCCAACAGCTGGGTGCTGTGTTGGCCCTTTGTGGGAAAGGGGGTTCCCTGCAGCTCTTACTCCAGGTAAGGACAACATTCCCTTTGACCAGCAGCCATGGCTCAGGAACAGAGTAACTCAGCTGTTCTCAGTCCTGTGCCTGTAACCACATCAGTGAGTGCTGTGGTTCTGTGTGGGATCACAGCTGATCTACCCCTTGCCTGGATTAAAAGCTAATCAGTCATTAGCGTAACTGGAGGAGCTGAGTGTGTTTAATCACTTGAACTCACTTGTCCAGCTCTGGAGCAGTCGATGTCGTCACCTGCCCACCTCTGCCAGTGCTAATCCACGCACTTGCTGCCTTTGGAATCATGGCTAAACTACTTGGCTAAACAGATAATTGACAAATGGGCCAATTCCAGTATTTTTTAAATGAGATTTTAATGCAGTTTTTCCTTTATCTGCTGGCCTCAACATCAGTTTACCCACTGGTCTCCAGTGGAGCAGCAAAAATGCAATTTTCAGTTTCTTGGAACTGAGGGGTGAGAAATAATTGGTCTGCAATCCATTATCCAGGTATTGTTTGAGTTAAGGTTGACTTTTAAACTTAAGCAGCTTTTGCATTTGAGCAGAGACGTGTTCTGTTAAAGGTTAGGATACTCAAGAAGGAATTCTGCTGAGGAAGGAATTCCAGTAAAAGTGGTTTTGTTGACTCTGTCAGGGCAGCCAGCAAATGCCCGAGTGTTGCTGTGATCCTGTTTGAATGCAGAGAGAACCCACTCGGGGTGATAATTTCTGGGGTGGCCTGTGAGGTTTGTTCTGGTGTGAGAGGGGATGGCAGAGCACCAAGGGCTGCCCAGACCCAGGGCTGGGGGTGCAGGTTTGGTTTCTACAGGAACTCCACATATGTTGGTGGAGAAGGCAAGGACCAGAGACACCAGCAAAGGGAACAGGGCTTTTCCCTTTGATTTCCACAAGGTTTTTCTTGGTTCCCCATGTAATTTTTATTTGTATTTGATAGTTTATTAAATGGAAATTATGCACTCTGTTCAGATCTCCCAGCAGCTCTGTGTTGATGAATCCCAAACCCAGGACCCCACCTTTGGTGGGTGCTGCCTGTGTGGGGCTGAGTGATGAAAGCTGTCCCTCAGCTGGCTGCACAGTCATGTTTGTTCCAGCATTTCGAGCGGGATGATTTTTTTAAGTGGAAGGAAATATTTTGCTTGTGGATTTTCGTCGTTCTCCCCGTCCATGTGAGCTCTGGGGCAAGAGGTCTGGGTGGTTACGTGTGAAGCTGTGCTGGTACAGAGCAGTTAATCTG